TTACAGGTAGATAGAGAGAAACTATAGGCCCTTTGTTAATACAAATCACTTTTAAGTCTTTGAGGATAGTTATGACTTCTGTTACATTTCTGTTAGGACAGTTGTTACTTTTCTTTGAAGAGTAATATCCATTACCGGTTTTAGTTCGGTTCCAGTTAATTTTCCCGGTTTATTTTTTGCTTTTTAATAAACATTTAGACATAAATTGAATAGAAGAAGCTGAATGATACTTGTGTCTAGGCCTACTTGTGTCATATTTGAGTTTTGATTAGTGGTTTTTGGTTTGGTTTGACTAATAATCTTCAGATACAGGAGAAATTAAATCCATTTTTCTTCTACTTAGCTTCAATTAGGATTTGGTCAAATCCGGTTTGGGATCTCCTCCTATTTTCTTCGTGACGGGTCAAATTAAACCCGACCCGAATCCTGAAAAATGTTTTTACCTATTTTAATTGCTCCAACAAAAATTAGGTCACCCGCAATAAACCCTTGACGACGTTCGTCTGCCGGAGAGTTCTCAGTTCGCCGCAAGACGCAGAGATATTTTAACGGCGACAGTGTAGGAATGGCTGATCGTGGAGGAGATAGCAGCAGCGAAGAGGAAGATCCCAAGTGGAAAGCCGCCATTAAATCGATAGCCACCACCACCGTATACGGCGCCTCCGCCGCGAAACCAGCAGCAACTCAGACACATGAAGAAGGAGATTTCCGACTCAAACCTAAAAAGCTAACACATGCCCAAATGAAGGTAAGTAGTTACGTAGAGCTTCTCATAGAATACGAATTTTATACAGATAGTTCATTACTTAGAGAAGATTTTGTCAAGAGTTTCAGTGGTTAATGTAATCCATCTTCTGGTAGTAGAATAGATTTTTGTCTATTGGGTTCTAACTACAAGAACCTTTAGATGGAGCTATTGATCAGAAGCTTGAGTGGATTTGAGTGATCAGTATTTTGGGTGTTCTTGGAACTCTTGTTCATGGTGTTTACTAGTTTGTTTATCTCTAGTCTTTGTTCTTGCTATAATTAGTTATCGCTTCATGGAGTTGATTACTGTTGCTGATTAAGGTAAGATTGGAAACAGGTGAAGAAGCTTTTGAATGAAATGGTGGAGAACACTTTAGACTTTGTGAAAGATCCTGTCAATGTTCCCGAGGATAAACCCGAGAGTGACTCTGGAGTTCGGTTATTTAAGCAGAGTTCGACTGGCATAATCTTTGATCGTTTAGGTTAGTACTAATCAGTCCTCTCCGAGTTTCTAGATCTGAATCTTGGTTATCATTATTACGAATCCGTCAAGGAACTTGTTTTCCTGTTAACAGATGAGCTTCAAGGACCAAAAAAGAGGCCTAAGTTACTACCTGGAGTTGAAGGAAACTCTAAAGAGGTTATTAAACCCCTTTTCTCTTCAGGCATTGTCGTGTTTTTAGCGGATCATGAATCTATCAACACTAAATTTTGTTCTTTTTCTATGGTTACTGCAGTTTAAGAAACGTATAAAATCGATTGCTGTTGATGGGCCAGATGTTTTAGCTGTGGCTATAGAGGCGGCTAAGAAATCCTCAGCTAGATTAGAGGCGAAAGAAGCGCGTGCAAAAGCTAAAGCTAAGAAAGAGGAAGAGAGAGTCGCGGAATTGAAGAAAGTAAGAGGAGAAAAATGGCTACCTTCTGTTGCACGGGAAATGCAGGTAATTGTATATGGTTTCTGACTCGGTTTCATTCTTGTGTTAGTATATGTGACACATGAACTCAACAAATCTCACTGCATTTATATTTGCAGCGAAACAACAAATCAACATGGAGATCTGCAAAGTCATGAAGATCCATCGAGCTTTCTTCTACAAACTTATGATCAATTTTGAGATAACTCATTACTTGAAGGATTAAAAAGCAGAATCACACTCTTGGCTACAAAAATTTTAGTGATGAAATCATGAAATATTTAAGTAGAGAGATCATTTGTTCTTGATGTAGTGAGAGTGAAGTTCTTCAGAGATGTTGTCATCGTCTTTGATCCAAACAAAGTCTTCTAATCCATCGTAAATCTCCTCGGTTGTAAACGCATTTTTCTTAGCTCCTTGTTTGGATGATGAAGAGAAAGCGTTCTTTATCCCCTTAATCAGCCTTTTTCCGAGACTTTTCTCGGGTCGCTGTTGGGATTGTGGAGGAGGAGGAGATGCTTTTCCTCCTCGCCAAAAAGTCGTGCTCAGGGAGGAAACTGATCCTCTATCTCCTCTTTGCGTCTTGTTTACATTACTTGGCTGGTGAACGCAATGGAAACTCGCTGATCGAGCAGAATCCATCACACTCCTTGACCTCGAGTCGATGACCCGGTCCGATTTCTGCTTCTCCGATTCTTTCGATATGAATTTCTTCATCGCGTCGAGCTCTTTCTCTAAGCTCTCGATCCTTGAGCTTGTCGAATTCATAGCAGCTCTTAGCCGACAGTTTTGTCGCGCCGCCGTGTCTCGTTGGAGAAGCGACCCGAGCGTCACAGAGGAGTCACCCTCCGCGACAACAGCTCCGTGTCCAACCATTGTGGCAGAGGAGGCAGCAACGGCATCGGCAGCAGCCATAATCGAGTGGCGCGTGTTGAGCTGCTCTTGTAGCATCGCACGCACTATAAACCTCAGGGGCATTTTCGGGTTTTGGACGGCGTCAAGAAGTAACGGCGGCGAGAGTTTATCGCAATCTATCGAATTACATATCTGAACCTTCTCTTCCTCCGTTATCTCTCCGTTATGCTCCTGCAAAATTAGAAAACGATACGTAACTACTCCGTTAACACTGATTCTAAAATGACGGAATTGCCCTTTTGAGTTTTTACCTTCACGTAAACATCAACGACTCTGTAGAGCAAATCGTGGCGCGGGAACCGCTGCTGCGCCGCGTCGGCGACGACGGAGAAATCACGGGCGGGAAGTTTAATGGCTTCTTCGAGAAACTCGTTGACGCAGTCCCCGTCTCCGAATCCCGTCAAAGCTTCGATGCACCTTCCGATCAGAAACGCCGTCGTTTCCGATTCCGGGAGCAAGGCGAGGCATGATCGGAGAACGATTTGGATGTCGTCGACGTTGACGAAGACGACTCGTCGGAGATAAGACTCCGTAAAGTTCCTCAGATTCTCTTTTCCGTCGTCGACCGGCATCAGAAGAATCTCGGCGGCGATTCTCACGGAGACGACGTTGAACGGCGTTAGTTCAATGCGAGCGCCGTAACAGAAAGCGGTTACTAACGAGAACGTTTCAGCCGTTATGTTTAACGGCGGTGACAGAGTTAATTCGTTAACGTTCGTTAGGTGGCGTTTTAAATAGCCACTCTTTCTTGACAGAGGATCCTATGGTATTAAAAAAAAAACATCACATTATAATTAAAAATCAAACCTTTTTGCTTATTATTCGCAATAAATGTGTAATTTTTAAAATAAAATTCAATAATTTTGCGACATCCCATTAAAAAAATCGTTGAAATTTTGTATAGAAATTTGATGAAACAGAGCAAATGTCTGAAATTGGCAAATTAAAAAGTTTGAAAAAAAAAATGTAACCTTGTGAAGATGAAACCTTGTGCTTCCCACTTGTACGAACACATCAGGTTTCGAATTATTAACCAACGACCTGAATAAAAAAATATAGAAACATAATCATATAAAATAAATATATACCAAAAAACTAGAAATTGGAAATTTTATTTAGAYAAACATTACCATTTATGGARTCTAGATTCAAGCTCCATG